AGATGATGTCGAACGGGAAAAGACATTTGCTCGTGGAGTACGTGTCCCGACGGATCCACTCACAGGGGGCGCCGAAGTGATCACGGCACCTTTGGCCTCCAATCTGTAACCTCGATGCCAGCAGCACAGGCGTACGCAGGATGCTCTGTGGGCACAGTGCTCATGAAGTCCGCCCCGCGCGTGACGCAGGAAACAGGCGACGCAACTCAACTCCCTTGCGCCTGAGACCGGGCGGCCGCGCACGTCAAGAAACTCAAAGAGCCCCCGCGGTCGCCCCAAGGGGCCCCGCAAAGGCCTGTCAGGACCAGGACAAAAATAGGCCTGGCGAAATAACCAACCACATGCTGCTGCGGGTACCATATGGGGCCACGATTAGGCCTGGCGAAATAACCAACCACATGCTGCTGCGGGTACCATATGGGGCCACGATTGCGCGGGGAGCGCGCCAAGATGAGGCGGCGCCGCCATGTCGACCACGCCAATGGGGTTTCCAGTGGTACTCCACGCGGGGCCACGAACCGAGTGAAGGGTGCGCCCCAATGGGGCGCAGCCGCCATGTAGACCCTGCCACTAGGGCCTTCGAGTGAGCTCCATGCGGGGCCACGAGCCGTGCGAGGGGTGCGCCCGCATGGGCGGTACCGCCATGGGGCCATGCCACTGGGGCCTTCGGTGGACCTCCATTTGAGACCACGAAACGTGTGAGGGGTACGCCCAAATGAGGCGGCGCAGCCACGTGGACCTTGATCCAGCATGGATCCTGGCACGTCGGCGGGCCTGGCGAAAGCATAAATGTATCCAAGAATTTAGGGTCTTGTCCGAGCCCATCGATATCCTCCTGCGTGAATGCATAATCTTCATCGCCACCCAGACTTATTCATGGTGAGACTCACGCACGCCCCGTTCGTGGCCGTTTTGCGGGGGTGCCTCAAGCGGTTTGCCTGTCTTCTGTCCCAACATCCTTGGCTACCAGAGCAGACTGTGAGGATGTCTCAGGCGGGACGCTGGTTTCAGCCCCCCCTGACGGAAACCACCACGTGTTATTTCACTGTCCCATTCGCGGCCGTTTTGTGGAGATGTCTCAAGCGGTTTGCCTGTTTCCTGTCCCAACATCCTTCGCTGTCGGAGCAGATTTGGAGGATGTCTCAAGCGAGGCGCTCATTCTCACCCCCCATAGGGGGAACCGCCAGGGCTTATCTCACGGTCCCGTTCGGGGCCGTTTTGTTGGGATGTCTCAAGCGGTGTCCCTGTTATCTGTTCCAACATCCTTCGCTTTCGGAACAGATTTGGAGGATGTCTCGAGCGTGGAATGGGAGGTGCGCGCGAATGAGGGGGGGAAGGGGCAATGCGGCGAGGAGGAGGAGGATGAGGCGGAAGGCGTGGATGACACGGGGAAAGGGAGGGGAGGGATAACGAGGGCGGTTGAGGGGGGCGAGGGAGTGGGAAAACACCAGGATGACGAAGGCGAAGTAGGATGAGAAGGAGGAGGAGGATAACAGGAGAAAAGGGGGGTAACGTGAGGAGGCAGGGGATTAGTATGATGGCGAAGTGGGGCGACGGGGGGTAGAAGATAACAAAGAGGAGGGGTCATGCCGCATTCAATTTCCTCTGGCCCTTTCCGGCCGTTTTGCTGCGATTTGGGCGGTTCTTCGGGTGGTGCCGAGCGCTCTAATACCCAGAAGGGCGAGAGCGTGACGTTCCTTTTCGTTTTCTTGTGTCTGATCAGTTTGATGGCGCCCGGAAAGCATCCTCGCTGACAGCGCGCGGTATTTTTTGGGAGCTCTTGGATTGTCCTCGGGTTGGTGTGAATCATTTTGGGCCGCATGGGCCGTCGCATCGTGATTCTCTCTATGAAAAATGATCACCTTCAGCGGTGTCGGCCGTCGTTGGGGGCAGTGTGCGCCGCCATGGCAGTTCGCATCAATGCAGAGGACGTTTGAATGACATAGGGCCGATGGGGGGGGGGACGGCATATTTGGGAGCAGTTGCGACGATTGGTATGGCCGAGCCGCCCTCATTCTAAATATGCGACGTGCTCGTTTTTTTTTGTTTTTTTTTCCAGGGCGTGCTGTCAGCAGGGGGAACGCCGCGCGCCTGGATTCCCCGATGGGAGCTCGCGGATTGGATTTTACAGTGCGACTGGGGCCACAGTCCGTTATCACCGCGTGATGTTCGCCCCGCGCGGATGGCGTTGCATGTCAGACGGGTAATCCCCATCGAGGGTTTGGTGCAGTTTGCATTTTCGCCATATCCTAAGATGGTTTTTGTTATTACTTGGACGCCTCCTACTCCTTCTCACTCTTCTCCTGCCCTCTCCTCCTCATGCCCCGACTTACTCATATACAGACTGACTCACACTCAGACTAACTCATACACATATTCACACACAAATACCTATTCATACTCATACCTACTCATACTCAGACCTGCTCCGACTCAGACTTACTCATGCTGAGACTCACGCGCGCCCCGTTCGCGGTCGTTTCGTGGGGATGCCTCAAGCGGTTTGCTTGTTTTCTGTCCCAGCATATTTCGCTATCGGAGCTGATTTAGAGGATGTCTCGAGCGAGGCGCTAATTTTCACCCCCCTTACGGGAGCAGCCAATGGTTATCTCACGGTCCCCTTCGCGGCCGTTTTGTGGGGATGTCTCCAGCGGCTTGCCTGTTTTCTGTTCCAACATCCTTCGCTTTCGGAGCAGATTCGGAGGATGTCTAGAGCGAGGCGCTCATTCTCACGTCCCTAAGGAGCCGCCGAGGGGTTATCTCACGGTCCCGTTCGCGGCCGTTGTGGGGATGTCTCAAGCGGGTTTGCCTGTTAGTTGTCCCAACATCATTCGCTTCCGGAGCAGATTTGGAGGATGTCTCGAGCGAGGCGCTCATTGTCACCCCCCTAAGGGGATTCAAATATTCACTGCGTGGGGCTCCCCATATGCGCATTTATTCCCATGGACCTGTCCGCCGTGAGAATCTAGGTGCAAAAACTTTCGAGTATAAACGGGTTTCAATTGTGACGGTCTGGTCATGAATCTAACTGAGAATCAATTGGAGTGTGAATGAGCCTCAGTAGTACGAGCGCGTCTCTGCGCATGACCCTGGGTCCTCCTGGGGCCTCCTGGGGCCTCCTGGGGACCTACTGGGGCTTCTTGGGGCCTCCAGGAGCCTCTTTGGGCCCCCTGGGGCCTCCTGGGACCTCCTAGGGAGGATTCGTGCCCGAGGAGAGGCCCAATCTATAGCAACAGTCGCACATAAAACATTGCGACTTGGAGCCGCAGAAAAAAAGGGGCAATCTATAGGAACACGCGTACAACACCAAGGAGTCGTGCCCTAGGAGAGGCCCTATAGGAACATAAGTACACAGGATATGGACCATCTATAAAAACATACGTATAACATCAAGGATTTGTGCCCCAGGTGAGGCCCAATATATGAGAGCATACGTAAAACACATGGGATTGGACCCACCCCTGTTGCCTTCTGAGGCCTCCTGCTCCTGGGGCCTCTCGGGGCCTCCTGTTGCCCTCGGGAGACCTCCTGGCGCTTCCTCTGGCCTCCTGGGGCCTCCTGTGGCTTCCTGAAGCCTCCAGGAGCTTCCTGGGGCCTCCTAGAGCCTCTTGGGGCATCCTGTGGCCTCTTGGGTCTTTCTGTGGCATCCTGATGCATCCTGGGACCTCATGTGGTCTCCTGGGGCCTCTTGGAACCTGTTGGAGCCTCCTGTGGCATCCCCAGGAAAACCAGCGCCCACGAGTCTGGCCACCGATCGAGACATCCTCAAAATCTGGCCCACCTGGGGGGGTGAAATGGAGCGCCTCGCTCGAGACATCCTCCAAATCTACTCCGAGAGCGAAGGATGCTGGGACAGAAAGCAAGCACGACGCTTGAGACATCCCCACAAAACGGTTGCGAACGGGACCGTGAGAGAACCATTGGCGGCTCCCCTTAGGGTGGTGAAAATGAGCGACCCCACCAGTCCTCCTGCCAAGGGAACCTGGCTGTGGTTTTCGGCGACGCACCAGCGCCCTTGGCTAACAGCGTTGCAACGCACGCGCTGCATTACGCGGAAGTAGTAAGATGATATGTTTCTGACATGATGCGTGGGCGCGCACGGCGCGGGCCTACATGGCGCGTCAAAGGCGCCTGACACACGCCCGCGATACTCTTCACGACCGAAATCGGAAAATTAGCTCCGGCGGCGCACATGCGGTGGGACACGCGTGCGTTCGGCATCACCCGCGCGAGGTGGCTAACAATTTCGCGGCGTTGCGCTAAAAATGCCATTGTGCCCAACATCGTTTCGAAGCGCGCTGCGGTGCGCCGCGCAAGCGCGCGTGGACTGCGGCCTGCATGCGGCCCGCGCACTAGTACGAGCGATTGAATCTGAAAGGGCAAGGCGCGGCACGTGCGCCATGAAAACGCGGCACACGGCAGAAGCAGTTACGAGAAGGAAACTCGCGCGATTCGCGTGCCTCCGTCGACCGAAATCGCTAAATCAGGGCAAGCGATCGGCGACGACCGCGTTTGACGCCACCAATAAATACATGAAAAAATGCAAAAACAAATTTGTCGAGGCCCTCGTTTTGTTTCCTGGTGGGCGCAACACCTGACAAAACGATGCAAAGTACTGACGCGAGCTGATTGCAGACTGCTCTGCCGGGGGAACGGCCACGAACTGCAGAAGGCTGACCACTCAATGCAGGGCCGTTCCCTGACGAAGACAAACAACGGGTCAGCGAATGTATGGCTGACGGCCGCGCCCGTTTCGCACCTCCAGCCGATAGCCAGTGTGAGCACATCGTCTCCGACTCACGCAGTTCGGGGGTACAACGATGCAAAGTCTGACGAGGGCTGGTGGCCGGGGCAGCACTGGAGAGGCGACCACGTACTGCAGAAGTCTGAACCACTCACTGCAGGGCCGCACACTTCCAAAGGTGTGGCTGAACCACAGCCGTTCAGTAGAGAAGACCACTGGTGGGCGCTCACGAGGCTGAGCCACCTCCAGATTTTTTTTGTTGGGGACACGCGAAGCGTCGACAATTTGTGGCACCGTGCACACTCCTCTTGCCAATACGAGCAGCATGTGCAACCGGCAAGAGCAAGAGCACCTTACCCTACTACGGCCCACGCAAGCACTGGCAACGCGACAGTCGCCACAGCAGCCGCTGCAGCCCGAACGAGAGAGCGGCCATGCCCACTATCGCCCGAGCAGGACGGCAAAACGACGAGACACGGGCAGGCGCGGGGGTAACAAACACGGCAGCAGCACCGGTTACCGGGCGCCCTCAGGCCAGCATCGCCTTGAATCGAAAGGGCGAGCCCGTCGACCTCGCCAACTCCTGCCGGCGCCGAGTGCAAAAACGAGAACGAAGGCGAGGAAACCGACGCAACGCGGCACCCCCTCCCCCTCCTCATCCCCCCTCCCCCCTCTACATCCCTGCACCCCTTTTTTCCTCCCCTCCTCCTCCCTCCTCCTCCTCCTCCTCCTCCTCCTCCCCTCCTCCCTCCTCCCATCCCACCCTCCCTCCTCCTCCCTCCCTCCATCCCTCTCTCCGCCTCCCTCCCCCCCCCTCCCTCCCTCCCTCCTCCCTCCCTCCCCTCCCTCCCTCCCTCCATCCCTCCTACCCTCCTCCCTCCCTCCTCTCCCCCCTCCCCCTCCCTCCCCCTTCCCCCTCCACCCCCCTCCCTTCCCTCCCTCCCTCCCTCCGCCCTCCTCCCTCCCCCCTCCCCCTCCCCCCTCCCTCCCTCCCTCCTCCTTCCCACTCCCCACACCCTCCTATCCCCCTCCCATCCCTCCCTCCCTCCTCCCTCCCTCCTCCCTCCCTCCTCCCTCCCTCCCACCCTCCTCCCTCCTCCCTCCCTCCCTCCTCCCTCCTCCCCCCTCCCTCCCTCCCCCTCCTCCTCCCTCCCCCCCTCCCTCCCACCCTCCCACCCTCCCTCCCTCCCTCCCTCCCTCCCTCCCTCCTCTCCCTCCTCCTCCTCCTCCTTCCTCCTCCTCCTCCTCCTCCTCCTCCTCCTCCTCCCCTCCTCCTCACCTCCTCCTCTCTCCTCCTCCTCCTCCTCCTCCTCCTCCTCCTCCTCCTCCTACATCCGTCTCCTCCTCCTCCTCCTCCTCCTCCTCCTCCTCCTCCTCCTCCTCCTCCTCACTCCTCCTCCTCCTCCTCCTCCTCCTCCTCCTCCTCCTCCTCCTCCTCCTCCTCCTCCTCCTCCTCCTACCTCCTCCTCCCCCTCCTCCTCCACAATTACTCAATATGACTACTACTCCCCCTCTTCCCCTGATGACGGTTTGAAAGTGTTAGCCCCCCCCGCGTACTGTTTTTTACACACAAGATTCCCTGGAGTTGGGTTTTCGCCTGCATTTGTTTCCAAAGTGCTGCTCTCGCTGAACCGCCGGCCTCATTTTCGGGCCCCGCTCGTTCCGAATCGTGCTCCCGCTGCAGCGCTGGCCTCATTTCCGTGCTTCCGCTCGTTCCGAATCGTGCTCCCGCTGCAACGCTGGCCTCATTTCCGCGCTTCCGCTCGTTCCGACTCGTGCTCCCGCTGCAGTGCTGGCGTCATTTCCCGTGCCATGCCACGGCATGCAATGCAATGCTAGGTTGATGCTACGCTTTGCGGTGCTCTTCTACGCCATGCCATGCCGTGGTCTACAATGCATCGCGTACCCTTTCGGGTTCATTGCCCTGCTCGACATCCGACTGTGCGAGTAGAGAGGGGATCTACGCCATGGTAAGGGATGGGAGGGAGGGGTAGGATGTCAGACATGACGCGAGCGCACCTAGCTTGTCCCTCCCCCCTCTCCCTCCTCCTCCCTCCCCCTCTCCCTCTTCCCCCTCCCTCCCCCCTCTGCTTTCCCTGCACCTCTTCTTCCCCGTCGGGGGGGGGGGGGAAGGCTGCAGCTTGCTCGAGGGAGGCTGCAGCACCGATCCACGAGGCGCTGCTCCGCTGAGCGTACAGGATGGTCCCCCTCCTTGGCTTCGGCCTCAGCTGCGATGCAGCTCGTCTGAGCAGGCCATCTCAGCAGGACATCAGTAAGAGGATCCACCCTGTGCATTTTATGATGGGCCTGTTTTCCACCACCACCACCACCACCACCATAAGTTTGAGGGGGAGGAGAGGTGGAGAACGAGGAGGAGGAGGACGAAGAGGAGGAAGAGGAGGGGGAGGAGGACCCCTCCCCCTCCAACTTATGGTGGTGGTGGTGGAAAACAAGCCCATCAACCTGTGCATTTGAGTTTTGGCCTCGGCTTCCGCCGCGATGCACTTCGCAGCGCACTCGGACCAATTCACCTCAGCCGGCGTTCCGCTCGTCCAGGGCGCCTCTCCCTCCCCGGCCCCACCCCGTGTTTTTCCCCGTCAGATTGCCCCTCCTGGTGGGCCTGTTTTCCAAAAGTTGGAGGGGAGGGGGTCCTCCTCCTCCTCCTCCTCCTCCTCCTCCTCCCTCCTCCTCCTCCTCCTCCTCCTCCTCCTCCTCCTCCTTTCCCTCTTCGTCCTCCTCCTCCTCCTCGTCCTCCTCCTTCCCCCTCCAACTTGTGGTGGTGGTGGTGGAAAACAAGCCCATCAGCTCCTGGAATGAACCAGACCCGGCGCCAGCACAAGTCTGCAAGCGGGCCTGCTCAAGAGGTGGGACACGCAGTCCCCTTCGATCGGGGCCGCTTCCGCCACCGCGCTCGAAGTGGGGGCACGGATCCTAACGGAAGAAGGGTCTGGGACCCTGATGGTGCCTTCCCCCAGGACCAGGTGCTTCATCCTAAAATCGTTTTCCGACGGCCCTGAGGCCCGTTTCCCTCCGGACAAGCTTCCCGAGCCAAGGGGCTCACTTCGCCTGGGAGCTCCCGAGCGAGGTGAACCCCACCCTCCGACAGTCCCGCTGTCGCTTTCCGACAGTCCTGAGGCCCTCCTTCATCCTGAATCGTTTTCCGACGGTCTTGAGGGCCCACAGAACCCGAAAACGGCGAGAAACCTCAGGACCCGATTCCCTCCGGACAGGCTTCCCCCATGGCGACATGTGACCCAGCCCACGAAAACGCAAACGAACTCTGGGCCCTCTGGCAAATGAGGCCTCGCCCGCACGGAGGAGATCACGCATGCGAATGGGCTGGACGGGAAATTGCCTGGTCTCGATGACCTTGAAGCGAGCAGGCGCGGCCGCGAAGTTGGCCAGTGCTCTCGCCCCGTAAGAAGACGGCGGCGGGGTGCCCATGAAATTCGCACTCGAACGAGCCATGGGTTCCGACTGCCCCTCTTCATCTTCCGCCGCCCCCCTCTCCGTTATCCTGTCCCTCGCCCTGTCGTTGTCCTCCCCCGTCCAGTCCTCGCCTTCGTCCCCCTTCCCTCCTCCTTCCCTTCCTCACCCCTACCCCAGTTCATTTTCCTTCACCTTCCCGCTGTTCGTTGTCCTCACCAGCCTCCTCCTCCTCCTCCACCTCCTCCTCCTCCTCCTCCTCCTCCTCCACCTCCTCTTCCGCATCAGCATCATGACGGCCATCATCATCACCACCACCATCAGCAGCATCAGCATCGCCGTCATAATCATCACCACCATCATCACGGCGGCCAACTGATCGATAGACGCGCGCCAGAGCGTCACGTGTGTGCGTTAGGCGCCAGGCTCACGCCCCCCACCACGGAGATCGGACACAACCTCACACTCGTTGTTGCGCCTAATTCATTTTGAGTAAGCTACTCTTACACACACACACACACACACACACACACACACACACACACACACACAACCTACAAAGAAATAGGCTATAAACTACCGCACCAACGATCGGCCGTGCCCGTGCGCCACTGGGATCCACTGAGCCTGTGGAATCAGCGCGGCCCTCCAAGGCTAGTCGCTCGGGCACCAATGACACACAATCTCACCTAGTGGGGCACGGAATGTCGCAGCTACGATGGAGGGCGCGGTCGAGCCCCATGTCCCAAAACCGACGCTGGAGCTCGGGGATTGGTACTGGGGCCCAAACAGCTACGGAGAAGCCGTCGCGATTGTCTTTGCTTCCCCGCCATACCCCCGCACGCTGAGCTGCACACTCTTGACGGCGGTCCTCATACCGAAAAGCGCGCGCCGGAGAATCATGCGCATGAGTTGCTTGGGCGCCAAACCCGCGCCCCCCACCACACAGATTGGATACAACCTCACACACTCTGTTCCGCCGAAGTCGTACTCCAGAAGCTGTGTTTATACACGTACTCCAAGTAAACATGCTACAACAAAATAAGCGTGCGAAAGATCGGCCGCGCCGTCGGGCCACGTTTACTGGATCGCGAAGGAAACGCGAACCTCCTTACCTGATGCGAGGGGTAGGCCCCACTGGGGTCCACTGCACCTCCGGGGTCAACGCCGCCTTCCAAGGCCAGTCTCTGAGACGCCAACGACACACTCACAGCATCCTCTTGTTTTTTTCTGCCTGGCGACCGAGCCGCGCACCCTACTATTGGAAGCCAACTAGGTTACCCCTCGCGGCGACGTAGATGCACAGGAGAAAACCGGAGTGCCTCCAGCCAAGACGCACCTCAGGAGCAGCGGAAAGACACACTGCACCCCTCCCTGAGATGGCGAACTAGCCGCTCTTACCGCAATTGTCGTGCATATCCTGATGACTTATGTTATCGCAGTTGTTGGGGAATTCGTACTGTTGTAACATCATCAAAGCACCGGCGGTTCAAAATCGAGACGTCATGATGTTGACAAACCGCCATCGCTGGGCAGCAACGTTGATCCCACCCAGAACGCGATAGCGGTGGGTGCCCCCCCCTTCTCTGGCTGCGCAGCTTGAACCCGGACGACGAGAATCCAAGGGCCCGCAGAGACCCATGGAAGCGGCTGCGAAAAAACTCAGGGAGCTGCGCCACCAACAAATTTCCCAGCAAGAGCCTCTGGAGAACCTCGGAGGGCCACCCCGCCAACATTGCATCGTAGACGCCACCCATCGCATGCTGATTTAGCCTCTGACCGCTTCTGGCGAGCTGGAGATCGACGATGGCACGCCGCGGATCGCGAGGACCTCGCCGCCCGCAGCGCGCAGCGAAGCCCAAGGCCACGGCGATCGCCGATCGCGGGTGCCCCGCTTGAACCGTCAACCCTGCGAACGACAACGCCATCCTGCGCGTCGTTGGCGGCCCAGCAGGCCCCGCGCCGACTACAGGCGCCGCGCAGACGACAGGCGACGCCACCCGCTCGAGAGAGAACGCTGGACAGCTGCGAGGGCGCGGGCAGCCCGACCTTTCGGCTCGCCCTCGCCCCGCGGATGCTCGACGCACTTGGCGCACAGCTGGCCCAGCCTGCCGAGATCAACTTCGCGGGGCGACCTGGGGCCCCGAACGCCCGCGG